TCTTTCCCTCTGTAGTTGCTACTACCTGAAGTGGGGCTCAAAAGAGGATGGAGCTAGATTGTTCTCTGATGGCAGATGACAGAACAAGAAGTGATGGTCTCAAGTTGCAGCAAGGGAGGTTTAAGTTGGATATGAGGAAAAACTTTCTTACTAGGAGGGTTTTGAAGTACTGGAACAGGTTACCCAGAGAGGTGATGGAAGCTCCATCCTCTGAAGTTTTTAAGGCCTAACTTGCCAAAGTCCTGGCTGGGATGATCTAGTTGGGACTGGCCCTTCTTTGAGCAGGAGGTTGGACTAGACCTCCTGAGGTCCCTTCCCACCCTAATTTTCTATGCTTCTATGATCATCACTGATTCCCCACCCCCTTGTTTTCTGTTCTTTTACTTTACCCCACTGTGATGGTTTGTGCCAGTAGGAGGACATGGAGCCCAGACCAGCTTCTGTGCAAGTGGATATCATTGGATTTATTTCCTGGGAGCTGTGCCTAGTGACAGCAGTTTTGCTCATCTTGCCTAATTCTATAAAGAATTAAGGATGCTCTGTGTGTGTCCTGAGGAGGTAAAGAAAAGGATGTGAAGCATTTTTTAAATAAATTTCTTTGAGACTTAGAAAAACTCTAGGTCCCTGAGTGTGTATACTATTGTGTCTGCCCAACTGCCCATTACAGTGCTACCTGGCAGCTCTGGAACTGTCTCACATAGCCTGGGTAGCAGTATCCATAGGGCCACAATGACAGTTTTTAATGTAATAATGTTATGGTTTCCTGAGAGAGGATGTGCTGCAGGAAAAAATGTAGTGTCTAAATACCTCTTTTTAAGATGTTACACATGTTGTAAGTCAGAATAAATGTTTCACATCCAGTCTATCATGGTCCTTTCCACCCAAGCGGTAGTACAGTAGAACCCTAATCATTCATGTCCAGGTGGTTTGCAACCTGCTTAATTCAAAGTAGGTTGTCAAATGAAGGACTAGCTGCTTTGCTAACTGCTCTGGCTTTTACTTCTCTGACCAGCTGAAGCTCATCAGAAGTCCAATGCAACAGGTGGAGAAGTGTACTCTTTCAAATAAAAGCTGTAACAAACAGCTGAAGTATGTCAGTGGTCCCACACAGCTGTTTGCTATAACTATATATGCCCCCAGGTAGTTTACAAACCCTCATCTTCACAGGGGAGTGAGGGATCTAACCCTGTAAAAAAATCCATTCTGCTGTACTCTTGGAATGTAAAATGGTATTTATAAATCTTGGGACAGCTTGGTATGTTATGTCAAAAAAGTGGTAGCAGTTCTAGCATTTCAGCATTAGGAGTCAAGTTCTGTGTTCTGTTCCACAAATGCAAGGTACATTACAGGCATTTAGGAAATTGAGGGCAAATTTGGCTTTCACTACCAATCATAGAAAGTTAGGGTTGGAAGGGACCTCAGGAGGTCATCTAGTCCCAGCATGTCGCAACTCAAAAGTGGGTTGCAAGAATATATGAAAGGGTCATGAACAAACTTTAAAAAATGGATCAACAAACTTTAAAAATGGATTCTCCTTTAAAGGAGAAAAATGTGGGAAACCACAAGTTTCCTCTTGCAGACTGCAGTGTTCCAGCCTGCAAGGGGCTGCTTGGGGCTAGCGGGAGCAGGAGGAGGTCAACTAGGCAGGGGGCTCTATGTGTATGTGCATCCACACACATGCACGTGGCAGCCAGGCAGTGTAGAAAGCAGCTCCCCGCAGCTAAGTCTACATAGCCAGGAGGGAAGTGGGGACAGAGCCAATGTGTCGGGGGTGGAGGTGGGGATACCTCCTCTCCAGCTGTGGCTTGAGGGGAGCAGCAGCTGGGCCATGGCGGCAGGGTAGAACAGCTGCCCAGTGCACAAGTGCCTGGCAGTGGAGAAGGTGAGGGCAGCACAGCCTGCCCAACCCACTGGTCTGTTACTTCTTGCATGGCTGGTGCAGGGGTTCTGGCAGCAGTGGCAGCAATGAGTTTCACTGTCCTCCCATGCCGAGTCCACTTGTTGGGCTGCAGAGGTGGCTCCTGCCTGTGCTGGTCCAGCCAGGCTGCAGCCCTGTGTCCACTGTGGGTGCACAAATCTGGGGAGGGCACATACCCCAGACCCCCACCCCCTGCCCCACGGCTGTTTCCTACTAAAACTATTTACTGGGTCGGGACTGGCTATCGCTGTTTACCAATGGGTCTTGGTACAAAAAAGGTTGAGAACCACTGATCTAGTCCAACCGCCTGCTCAAAGCAGGACCAGTCCCAACTATGTCACTGGAGCCAGGTCTTAAACCATCCAAAGATGGAGATTCCACGACCTCTCTGGGTGGTTGCTTCCAGTGCTTTACTACCCTGCTAGTACAACAGTTCTTCCTAATATCTAACTTAAACTTCTCTTGCTGCAGCTTGGGACCATTGCTTCTTTCTCTGTCATCTGCTATCACTGAGAACAGAATAGCTCAGGGGTGGGCAAAATGGCAGATACAGCTGGCAGCTGGTCTCCATTTCTCAGCAGCCCCTGCCCACATGGCTGGGGCTGGTCTCCACGGAGACCCCAGCTGCAGCTGCACTGTGATAGTGTAAGGCTGGGGCTGCCATGGAGACCAATCCCAGCCGCACTGGTGGGGCACATGGCAGGAGAGGGCTGCTCCGGAGCCACTGGGATCTTGTGGGAGGAGCAGCTTGGTCAGGACCAGGGCAGAGACATGATCTGCAGCCTGCATGCTCTGGCCCGGGGCACACAGACAGAAGATCAGGGCTCTGCTGGGGACCACACTGCCCCTCTTACACACTCTCACAGATAAGCTGAAGCTTTGCAGCCAGGCTTGTCCCCTCCACTTTTTCTATGCTCCCAGGGCCAGCTGGCAGGGCTGCTGGGGTGGTCACTGGTGTGTGAGACCTTGCAGGAGCACTCTCAGCAGTGGCGCTGCACTTGCCCCATAATGTACAGTCCAGGGGCCAGTAGGGGACAAAAAGTGAAAAGACCAGGACACAGCAGGGTGAGCCCTGCCCCTGCCACCCTGAAGTGGCATCCCATAGATCAGTGGTTCTCAGCTTTTTTAGCCTCAAATGCCCTCCAGATCTTTTCTGAATTTAGATCTTGCTCAACAATTTTCAACCAGGATGTCATGAAATCCAGAAAAGTTATGGAGGGGGCCTTGATCTAAAAAGGTTGAGAAGCACTGGTATAGATAGAGACTACTCCTTTTCTTAAAGCAACATCTATTTGGTGTCATTTTTAACAGTACATCTCAGCACCAGCATGATTTCCTCTGGGGGGGAAATGGAATACATTATGTTTTGAAAATATATAATTCTCTTTTTGGGAGGAAGAGAGAAGTGAAACACCAGTTTTAATCCACCCAGAAGTGTGCCCCAGTTATCAAAAGTCCTAGGAAACAATGTCCTAAGTATACCTTCAACTAAAAGCAGCCCATTGTTAGAACTGCTAGACACATTTATGAGGAGGGCAAAAAGGCTGAAGGAAGAGGGAAGGGGAAACTGATAAAGGAATCTCAGAGGGTAGGAGGATAGACAGCATGAATATTGGTTAGAATAGCAGTCAGGGATGTAATTATATGACTAGAATACAGGTATTGAAGGGTATGTGCTGTTCAGGATGGATAGAGATAAAAATAAAAGTGGTATGGTAGCTTTGTGTTTTAATGATATAATTTCTTATAAAGAAAGAAGCTGTAGGATGGATAAAACAAAACCTAATAGAAGTAGATAGGGGGTGAAGAAGAACACCTAGTTTTAATATGGAGCTTGATCGGTGTGTGAAAGGGATTTTATATATTATATGCAGTTGCAAAAGCCTGGATTTGATTCCCTAAACCTTTGTTGGTATATAGGGGGAAAAATACATAAGAAAGGAAACAAATGAGACACAAAAGTGAATAAAAGAAAATGATCTTCCTAGAAATCATGTCCATTGAGAGAACAAGACAGAAACATTGCAGGCACTATGAAGCAGTAGCATCTTGAAGTCCTGATTACATCACTTATTTAACTGAAAGAAAGCCAGCCAAAAAAAACCTGAAATGCCCAGAGCAATTTGAATGGTTTACCTTTTATGTACTGGCATTTGCCTGGCATGCTGTTGTTTCTGAAACAAACTTAGGCATGTAGCTCAATGAATTACCCCATACACTGGGAGGGCAGAGGGGGAGGTGTATCAGTTTCTGGAGGAAATCAGGTTGATAAATGCAACCATCTCTATGGTTGTAGAGAGGCACTGCCCAGTTGGCAAAGCTCCTGCCCCAGCCCCCACTCTCCAAAGTACTTTCCTTCCTTATGCTTAGACCTAATCTTGCAAACTTTCTGTATTCATAACTCCTATGGAAAAGAATAGGGTCCTCTGAAGAGCACTTCCAGAACCACACCCAATATTTGCCAAATCTATTGTTATGCCAGACTTGCCTTTAAAATAGCTTGGAACTGGGAGGGAGCTTTGTGTTTCACTGTGCCTATGCCTACCTAAGCGCTCTGGTTTCTTTCTTGCTTTTTATTTCTAATTTTCCCAACCTAGTAAAGGGGCCTTAAACATTAATCACTTTAGCGCCTTGACTCTTTCCTAAGACCCACTGCTGATTGTTGTAGCGGGGAAACATCCTACAGTGCCAATCATTTCCTTTTGCAAGATTTCCTCTTTTCAGGCACTTGCCTGCTGGACTTCAAGAAACTATCATCTCCCCCTCCCCCCCCCCCCCCCCCCCTTTTTTTTTTTTTGAGAGAGGCAAGGGTTTCTTAAGGGCGAGGTCTTTTATGGGACCAACTACGTCGTTGGGATAGAGTTAGACAAGCTTTCTGATGTGGCACATTCTCCCTCAGCTCAGGAAGACCTCCCTCCCGAGGAAAGACCTGAACCTGGTCCTGCGGAAAGCTTGTCTGACTCTATCCCAACGACGTAGCTGATCCCCTAGAACATCTCGCCCTGAAGAAAGTCTCTCGCATCGCCTCTGGCCCTCACGGTCACAGTGTCACCCCCCGTGGGGGCCGCGACGCCGCTGCCGGGGCTGAGGCGAAACCAAAGCCCGGCTCGCAGCCGAGAGGCGCGATCCCGCCTTCACTTCACGCCGGCAGCGCGGGGAGCTGAGCCGGCCACGCAGGCCCCCCCGGCCGCTCCCGCGCGCTGCCATCGGGGTGCGGACTCTGCCCCGACGGGAGGGCTGCCGGGCGGCTCCGCACCGGGGAGCCCGGGGGGGAGACAGTCACTGCTCCTGGGTCGGGGGCGGG